TGTATATAAGACTTCCATTAGCATTAATAAGCAGATAATGTGTACACTGTGAAGATCAATATTTATTGATCAGAGTTAAGATGTGATCAACCTTAAGAGTTAGTAAATCTTGATATTAGCGAACTATGAAATAAAATTATTTTTTAGAGCTTTCTGTGCACATTAACCACAAGCAATTAGATACAGAAATAATAGAATTATAGAGCTTAAAGAGGTATTGCAAAGTGACCTAGACTGCCTCTGCTCTGAAGCAGAAGTAAACATACATAAACTCTTCATGGCAGATATTTGTCTGATCTTTCATTTAAAAGCTTCATTGGAAGAGATTTCACAATTTCACTATGTAGCCAACATCCATAATTATTTATTCTTCCTAGTACACCTTTTTGTAATATTTAATTTAAATCATCTGATCTTCTGTTTTTAGTGTGTATGGAGGGCAGCAATCGCTGGAATATATGTATGGTTGGGAATCTGTTATTTTGATTAAATAGTAAACCAATTTCACCAAGCTTTCTTGATGAACTTCTTATTTTTAGATCACTTATCTTTGTCTTTTGAAGCATCCTTGATGTTTATAAACTTTTTTAAAACTTGCCTGCAAAATTGAATATAGTATCCTGCCTGAGGACTTGCAAGTGCCAACAAATAAGAATTATTACTTATATTTTAAATGGAACATGCCTGTTGCTACATCCCAAAACAAGATTTGTCATTTCTGTGGTTGCTTCAGGCTTTGATAGTTATCGCAGATGATTTTCTCTATTTGTAATCTAATAAGTAGTCATAAGTTTGTTTTCTACTTCTGGAATGCGTTGCTTTTAACTGGCCGTCTTTGATTTTTAGACTTCTCCCCAGTTTATCGCAAGTCATTCACAGTTCTAATCTTGTCCTTGAACCCTCTTCGGCTTTGGCAGCCGCACATTTTGTTGTTGCTGTTTAAGTAATATTCTTTTCTCATGCAAGTCATTTTTATAGTTATTCAGTCTTAAGCTGATTTCATGTTAAAATATTTCTGTGATTTATGAAAATGGATCTTTTCTGCTGTTACAAGGCTCCTGAGTCTCCTTTTCCTAAGGCGAGAAGCAATTGTTTCCATCCATGACAAATGACAAGATAGCTTTTTTTTTTTTTTCTCCTCCTTTTCAGGGAAAAAAGAACTTGCAACTTCGAGCTGACTTTTAATTCATTTCAATCAAATGGTTTCGATTGCACACAAGGATTAAAGTTTATTTTCCAGATGACCAACTGAAAAATTGGCAATTCTACTTCCCGATTTTATTTGAAAGTGTATGTTTATTTTTCTTCTCCTATCCACAGCTTTATTTTTTTTACCAAGGTGGCTTACTGCAGCATGTGTGTAGAAGAGTCCTGCTAGAGAAAGGAGAGCAGAGTAAAAAATCTGTGCTATTCTAGGCGACAGTGAATGGAAAATAAAACAGAGGGGAAACATTAGATGCTTTTAAGGGGTTTTCAGTTGAAAGTCAGCAATTCCTTGGATTCTAAAAAATATTCAGTGATCTGTGATCATTTCTATTTCCCTGTTATTCTACTTTGAACAGTCACAAATACTAAGCAAATAAAACCGATCTATCTAGTGTGTATGTTTAGAAGAGCAATTGCATTCATGATAGTTAAAAATACTTGGATTTTTTTTGAGCATGGAAATACTGTGTACAAATCTCTGTTGTCTGTGTGCCTCTTCCAAAGCAAATGATTGTTCTCATCTGTACTTGCCTGACATCAATTCAAATGCATTTACATGTTTTCAATGATTTAAAACCTAGTGTTTTGCAGAGCAGCCTTTCCTGTGTAGCTTCTCTTGTCTGTTATCTTGGAATGAAAAGGCAATATTTGAGGAAGACTTCATGTTTTTCTATTAATTTTAGATTGCATTGTATTAGTTTCCATATGTTCTTTAAACAGACGATGCCCTTCCTTTCAATACCACTTATCGCTTCTACATCTGGTCGGTTTAAAGAGATACATATGTGTTTTATGATTGCTGTAGACATACGATTTTAGTTACCCTTACCCTTTCTAAAGAAATTAATTCTTTTATAGGTTCTTGTTGCAACTACAATAATTATCCAGAATATTGGAGGTAAGAAATTTCATTAACTCAATTTTAACGCTGAGCAGAATAAAATCTCCACAGTCTGTAAAACTCTAACACCAAAGGCAATCACTAAATGTCAGTGACTCGATTAAACGAATGTGGAACTTAAAGAAGAGCCTTAAATGACTGTGCTCAGCTGTAGTGCTACAGTCATGAGGTAAATGGAGGACCTGTGCGAGGGTGGATTGTTTGCCTGGAGCTGCATCAGGTGACATGGAGAACATCCATATATTTTAATATATGGATTCCTCTAACTGGAAGGAGCTGAGAAGCATCATCTCCATTGCTTTCTTTCCTTCCTGCTTTTCCATATATATACATCTACTAGATACCTTTTATCATACCTTATCGTGTTTTTTTTTTTTTTTCCCCTCTTTGGAACTTGCATGTGCATTTTAGTGATGTGTAACAACCAAATATTTCCCTAGCCATAAAATTTTGACTGTGCTATATAAATGATACTTTGCCCTTTTTCGTAGTTAAATACCATACTGTTTTTCTGGAGTTTGTTTGGTTTGTTCACTTTTATCCTGCAGAGCGATGATTTATGTTGTCGTATGTTGGGCTGCCCAGTTATATTGTTCTTATTTTGCTTTATTCAGTGCACAATATGGTAAAACAATACTAGCTGTCTTTGCATTCAAATAATCACCTAAGTATTTAAATTCCTATTCAGTTGTGTTCCCATACTTGACATGTACTGAGTAACAGTGCCCTTAGAAGTAGAGGAGTGTTCAAAAGAAGACAGCATTCAAGAGAACAGTTTTTAGTTTCTTTGGCTACTTCCTTTAAATGTTTTAGATTTTCTTTTACATGAGGGAATTGTGTGGAGAGAAAAAAAAATGAAGGAAAGATACGGATGTTCATTGACAATGACAGTGAGCAGCATTCCAGTTCTGCTGTTTAGACAATAAAGTCCAAGCAATTTAGTGATTTTTCTTGTTTGTCATAACATATAGGCCTAGTACTAGCTCAAGTAACTGTTTTTCTGATAAAACTAGCTCCAGTTATAAAGACCGCTCAATTTAAACAACTATAAAAGCCTGAGTATTAATTTCAGGCAGGAGCAAACATATTAATTCCAAGGCTAAGGATTATTTATTCATACAGCTTTTAGAGGATATTATGTAGCAATGAACAAATTTTTTAATTTCCTTTCCTGTTGGAGTGGACCTCTAAGTAAACAGTATTAGACAAGGAAGGGATACACAGCACAGGTTCTGGGGGCTCCGGGATCCTGTACCATATTCTGTGGTCGAAGGAAATATGACTCCTATTTCTTCCTCACAGCAGTTCATAACCTTCCCTGTGTGTCGTTCTGAATAAAATTCATCTCAGTAATTCTAGAGGCTCAAACTATTGCTTGGTGGATATTATCAAACTACTTAGGCTGTTTTACGCAGTGGACTTCTCTGCCAGCAACCTGGGCCTGATTTGCCAACTAAAAAGTTTTCCATTTAGGTAGTTAATTCAAGAAATCATTTTTGCAAGTTTTCTTGCAAATTTTCTTTCAGATATTTGTGGGTTTGCTCATTTTGATGGAAGGTTTCAATTTTTTCAGTTTGGGTGGTTCTACTTCCAATCTTTCATGCAAGAGAACAGTAGCACTTCATATACCTTGTATAGTGATTTGTTTACAAAGATCACTCAGTTTCAAACACACTGAAAAGAGAAATAAGACCTTTTTCTTTTTTTCTTTTTTCTTTTTTTTTTTCTCTGAACCAGTTGGTGCTGCTAAACCAAAACAAGCTCTGCTCTGTGGAGAGAGGTAATCTGTAAAAACACGGGCCGCAAGTGCAGCCTTCTTGGCACCATCCTCCATACAGAAGATGTATTGTGCTATCTTTGCAAGGAACTGTCGCAGCTTCTGTTCAGTATTTGGATTCCGCTTTGGGAGCAGAGCTCCCAGCTGTGTTATTTCTCTCCTTAACAACTGCCTTTTGCGCTTTGGCAGAGCCCTGTGACGCTGCAGGCTGAGTGAGCAGAGCGGCCTCATGTCAGAGCCATCCGTGAAGATGGCTTCGCTGCAGCCTAACAGGCCCTTCAAATAGGGGAGGATCAAGAGCCTGTTCTGATCTCTCTTCCAGCCTTGGCTCTGGAAGAAATGTATAGAACAAAGGAAATGTTCCCGTCTTGTTGGCTCCTCTTACAGATTTTTAAATGGCAGAGGTGAAAAGTCTGTCCTGAATGAGGGCCACACTGAAGTGTAAAACTGGTTCTGCCCTTTCTCCTTAGTGCACTTGGATGTTCCCCTCTTTCTGTTTTTCTGTCCATCTGAAGGAACCGGCAGTGCTGTGCCTGTTGGGCACACTTCCAGGCCTTGTCAACATCTTTAATTTCAGAGGAAAGCTAAAAATAAAATTGTTTTCTGTTACCTCCTCCATCACCAGACCTGGGTACATTGCATCATACGGTGTCTTATTTCAAAAGTGATTGGAGAGTACGGGATAATGAATGATGGTTTGCGATTAAAATAAGCAACTTTACTAGAGTTGTTGTCACTATTAGCATCTAGGCAAGGCTTTTTTACAGTCTAGTTTGAATCATTTCTAAAAATATTGAAAGCACGGAAGTGATTTAAATTCACTTGTGGTGGAGAGAGCTTTTTTAATATAGTTACACTTTCTTTTCTATCATAATTTGTCATCTTCACTTTTTCAGAAAGAAAAAAATTGAAATGCAAATTTGAATATGACATCCTAATTAACCGCACTGACTGATTTATGTAGACTGAGGAGTTGATTTTACAACAGAAGGATACCAAAAGAAAAAAATAAGTTGATTTCTGTACAGCTACAGAAAGAAGCTGTATTTGGTGAAAATACAAATTTTTCTACAGAGAGAGGCAAATTTGGTGAAATTTGGAGTGAATCTGAAAATACCTCTTCTTCATAAAGGAAGCCTAAGAGAGCTTTTTTTTGAGAAAATCCAATCCTGAGTACATTGCTCGGAATTTTAACCTGCATCTCTTAGGTGATTACTCAACTTTCATGCAGACTTTTAATTTTCTGTTGGAAGATTGTGTTATGTTAAACCAAATCAACTACCAGAAACCATTTAAATACCACGGGTTAACTGAATTTATATTGAGATTATATATTGGATATTGGCAAATTAATGCATATTGAGGTCATCTAAAAATACTATGATTTAAAGCCTGTAAACCAGGAATTTATACAAATTCTTGCAAGGGTTGGTTTAGTGTGGTTGTGGGGTTGCAGATTGGACACTAAAAGGGAAACTCCCCAGTTGGACAGGAGCAGATCATGGTTTTGTTCATCCTCTCCTGCCAGCCCTTCCTTTTCACCCCAGGTTCACAGGTGGGATAACCTTACAGGTATCCCATGCAGAAGATGATTTTGAGGGTTTTTTGCACTTTTCACATGCCTCCTAAAACTGGAGAAGGCCCTTGGTGAAGTCGGGTGTCTGGAGGATGGAAGGGGCAGGGGAGGCTGCCATGGACAACGGAGTTCCGTGGCTCTCCTCCGCTTTTATGTAATCCTCGCCGGGAGCGGCCGGAGCTGGCGCGTGGCCCCGCTATTGTTTTCATGGCGCTGTGTTTCTAGGAAGCGGTGGATGAGGCAGCGCGGGCCAAGAGGGCTCTGCGGCCCGGAGCCCTTCCCTGCCGCGGCCAGGGCGGCGCTCAGAGGCTGGCGGCTGCTTTCCGAAGGAGGGGAGAGAAGCCCAGAGCTTCTCCTCCTCCGACAGTCCTTGCTGCTCATCCGACAGCACACGAGGACTCTCGGCACCGGGGTATCTGAGAGAGGCGGTAGGAATCGCAAAGCGTGTGCAGCGAAGTTGGGGAAAGAATCATTTTAGCAAGGCTTGTGGAAAATGGAGACAAACACAATAAAGTATTGCACAAGCGCAGCTCGCAATCCACTGCCAACACTAACAAATCTTCGGCTCTGAGGTCTAGCAGGAAGCGTGCGGGCAGTTTTACAGCATACTGCTGCAGGCTGGCAGGAGCTGAAGGTCACTGCTGCAGGGAGATACGGGCAGCCACCGAGGGCCTTGTAGGTCTGATGCACAGAAACATAAATCGAAACTGCTGAGAGCATGAGTTTAATTATTTAAAATTTATTAGCAGTGGGATTAAGCGCAAAGGTAGAACATGCAGTACAGCTGTATTACATAGGTGGTCTCTACAAGGAGTTCTTGCAATAGTCTTTCTGTTTTGCAGTGTTGATTTTTTTCTCCAAATAGGCTGAGATGCAGGAATCCCCATGTTAAAGATCCCTGTGAGCAACTTGCCTGTTTTGGCTTCTACCCAGATGACCCGTGCAGCCTCTCGGCGGCTTCATTAGGCCTGTTAGTTAGCTATCAAACTAATATCTTTGCTTTACAAAGAACTGTAAACTTTCTAATGCAAATACAGTTTAATTACGCATGATTTTATGTTAATAACGTTGAATTTCTGTAACTCAGATTTTGTTTCAGTATCCCGCAACTCGTATGCGCTCAGAAGGGCAGGACACGCTCTGCTTCGCAATCACGAGGGAGGGAGGGGTTAATCAGCATCCCTCGAGCACCTTTTAATCCTGTCTGTATTTTATAATACATAAGAAACCCGTGGATAAGTTTGTACGTAGGGCTCGCTCCCTACGCGGCCCCGTGAGGGGAGCGGGGCGGGCGCAGCGCGCGCGCGCAGCGCCCCCGCGTGGCCCCGCCGCCATTTCCGGCGCTGCTCGCGGTGACATCTGGCACCGTCACCGTTATATACGTCCATACATGCGTGCCCTACGCGAGTCTCCTTGGAAAATGCACTTTATATTACCTATTTAATCAAGCATTTTTGCTTTGCAAGTCGCTTTTAAAATTTTCTTCGGAGCTCCCTGTTTAATTCGGGATGTCGAGTGCTCCGAGACATGTTTGCAACGCCCCCCTCAAGTTTGAACGTTGCGTTTGAGAGAGCGGAGGGGAATGTGTGCCTCGAATCACAGTGCAGGACAAACTTTGCAAATAAATGGTGCAAGTCAAGGAAG